AATTCCGTGTTCTTAATGTAAAGTATCAATTGGTGATACACTTGGGGCACAAACACGTATGCAGTTTGCATTAGACGGTCTGTAATACTATCATGTTCCTTCACCGCCGCAACTGTCAAGAACCTTGTTTGTGGTGGCACGTATATTACACACTTCGTTGCTTCTTCTTGTGATTGTGTGTGACTATCTATTTGACTATAATATACTTCACTTATAGACAGCAGCTTTCTTATATTATTATTTTGATTTCGATGATATACATCTGTCGGGCATCCCATAACACGACCATATTTTTTATAAGTTTGAATGTAGCAGGTTTTGTATTGACAAGTGAGAGGTATAAAAAAAAGAGATAGAAAATAATAACACAATTAAATGTAACAACTGAACTTTTGCTCCCCATAATCCGAGAGGTGTGGGAAACAAACCGCATTCCAGCGGGCTGGAAAAAAGGCATCATTACTAAGCTTCCAAAAAAGGGCAACCTCACACATGCAAAAATTGGAGAGGAATAACCTTGCTTACCGCCATAAATAAAATCTTCACGACCATCATACTTAAAAGATTAACAAACAAGGTTGAATTTCGAGCTAATCAAGTAGGCTTTAGACCAGAATCCTCCTGCATAGACCACATTAATACTGTGAGGCTAATAATGGAACAATCGGTTGAATGGAACACACCCCTATACATGGTTTTTGTTGATTTCGAGCGTGCTTTTGACAGCTTATCTCATGATGCGATATGGAAAATTTTAGAGCTAAGAAACATCCCGCATAAAATAATTTCCATTATAAAGTTACTGTACACTGAAGAGAAATGCAGCGTGACACACAATGGGATCAACAGTGACGAATTTGACGTACTTACTGGAGTCAGACAGGGATGCGTGCTTTCTCCGTTTCTTTTTAACATAGCTCTAGACTATGTTCTCTCCAAACTAGACTCTGACACAAGAGGGATACAATGGACGTTAACCACACGCCTAAGCGATCTCGAATACGCCGACGATATCTGCCTGTTAGGACAAAGGTTCCAAGATGTGGCTGACCAATTGGAAACACTTTCCACTGAAGCCAATAAAATAGGTTTGAAAATCAATATTGGTAAAACCAAATCCATGAGAATAAATGCAAGAAACAACACGTTATTCATCATTAATAACATGCAGATTGAAAATGTGGAAAACTTTACGTATCTTGGAAGTGTCATAACAGAAAGCGGAGGTACAGAAGACGATATTCGTATGAGGATACGAAAAGCGCAACAAGCTTTCAGCATGTGGAGGTCTGGAGAATACACTACGAGGACAAAGATCCGCATATTCCAGTCAAATGTCATGTCTGTACTACTTTACGGATGTGAAACCTGGAAAGCGACAAAAACCCTTACAGACAAACTGCAGGTCTTTGTTAATAAATGTCTACGAAGAATTGTTCGTATTTTCTGGCCTAACATCATCAGAAACGAAGATTTACTACACCTGACCAAACAAAAGAGGGTAGTAAATGAAATAAAGTCCAGAAAGTGGGGTTGGATCGGTCACACACTCCGAAAAAATAACTCCAGTATTGCAAAGACTGCCCTAGAGTGGAATCCGCAAGGAAAACGGAAAAAAGGTCGCCCAGTACAAACTTGGAGAAGATCCATCATGGACGAGATAAGAAAACAAGGAAAGTCTTGGAATGAGGTGAAGGCTTAGCGCAAAATAGAACCCGATGGCGCGTTTTCACTGAAGCTCTATGCTCCACTTAAGAGTTCAAGAACCTTATATATAAATGTAACAACAGTCAGCCTAGTTTCAGCTATAACGTTGAAGTATACTATAGGAACATTCCTAAAATGATGCCTGTATCCTTAAAATGTGGTTACTAAGAAGCTTTGGTTTAAAATATTGGCTTAAATGTTATTAAATTTAGTACTGGAATTCTACAAGATGCAATATATATATAATATATATATATAATATATATATATAATATATATATATATATATATAGACGAAGAGCTATTGGAATTACAGTCAGGAAAAACATTCTACTGTCGAGTGACAGAACAGGCGGTATTGGTTTCCTAATCAACCAGAAATGGAAACTAGAGTACTAGAGTAGTAGAAATAACTGGTATCATGGATACTACCTAGTACCTAGCTTAAACTGGCAACTATCAAAGAGATACAATATACAAATATACACCCGAACACTTACCCATACTGACGAAGAAATAAAAGAACTCTACAGTAACATAAATAAAGCATTAAATAACAATAAAAATCACTTCACAAGTATTTAATTGGTGACAAATGCCAAAGTGGGAAAGAAAAACGACAAGAAACAAGTCATGGGAAAGTATGGAGTCGGTGAGAGAAATGAAAGGGGAGAAAGACTGGTTCAGTTTGCACACTACCAAAACATGCCAATTGCAAATACATTCCATAATAAAAACAGAAAATGGACTTGTGTAGCACCAAATTGAATCGCTAAGAACGAAATTGACTTCTTTCTAACTAACAAGATTGTTCCAATAAAGAAAGACTGGTAGGTAATGCAATCGAAAATAGGAAAAACTATAAGAAAACAAATAAGCGTTAATCATTGGGAATCAGCAAATCGTTGCTATAACAAACAAAAACACCAGAATTGCAGACAGAAATGAGATAATACAATTCGTGACTAAATTCTACAGCAAACTATACAAAGCCCCGGAAACTCTTGAAGAAGCGATCAGTAATCAACAAGAAGTCCTTCCGGAAGAAGTAGTATCGACAATAACAAAAATAAAAAGCGGTAAAGCAGCTTAACATATGGCATAACAGTGGAACTGCTTAAATATGCTGGCAAAAACCTGGAAAATCTTAGCAGACATATTTACCAACTGCCTAAGATCAAGATGCATACCAGACCATTGGAATACAGCAATCATAATTCTCATTCATAAGAAAGGTAGCCAAGAGGATATCAAAAACTACAAAGATCATCAACATATTAACAAATGCATTATATGCTGCACAGCCAAGAGAGCAAGCTGGCTTCAATACCATGGCTCTTATTCATACGCTTCGAGAACTAATGAGTAGAGCTAAAGGATATGAAATACCGCTAGCATTAACCTTCATACATTTCGAGAAACCTTTCGTTTCTATATATTCCAAGGCAGTAATACAAGCATTGACCAACCAAAGTATTAACAAACCCTACATAGAAATTTAGCAAATATATACAGACAAGCAAAAGCTAAGGTAAAAATGTATGAAAACACTCCAGAATGTCACACTGCCAGAGTCGTCCGACAAGGATACGCAATATCACCACAGCTCTTCACTGTAACTCTAAGAAATGTATGCTGCAAAATGAACTGGTAGAACAAAGATCCATTGATGGAGAATACCTCAGCCATCTAAGATTTGCAGACAACATCGTTCTGATTGTTAATAATCCTGCAGAACTACAAGAACTTATAAGCGACCTAAATGCAACTAGCAATGAAGTTGGCCTAAAAATGAACTTGACAAAAACAAAAACCATGTACAACGGGCTAGTGGATGTCCAAGATGTAATAATTGGTACAGTACACGCGTATGTATACCTGAGGAACCTGGGACAATTAATACATAAATCTCAAAGAATGAAACTGGAATCAGCAAACCAGAAATCAACAAAAGAATGAAACTGGCTTGGGCATCTATTGATAGAAATGCAGTTATATTCAAATCGAAGATGCCAATCCACCTGAAGAAAAAAGCATTCGATCAGTGTATACCACCAATCATGACACGGCTGATGAAATAAAGAGACGCCAGCTAAAATAGGGAACAGAAGAGTATATCTGGTAATAATAATGGACAAATCTAGTAATTCAATAAAATTAATGATATATACTGAGAGGAAAATTCGACGATTACATCTATTACGGTATTAATTGGGTTTCTACCTGATTTTCTATCATGCTGTCGAATTATTTATGTAAATTAACTATTTGTTAAATTAATTAAATATTCACAAACGTTGCGTATCGTCCAATAACGTAATAAATAGCTCGTGTTGACGCTAGATTGACAAGAGTAGGGTATATCAATAGCGGATATCGTTTGACCTACATTTTCGATAGTCAGTTTTAAGTTTTGTCTTCGAAATTGTATTTAACTATAATTTGAGTGAGCTGTGTGTAAATTAATGTTTGAATTAGTACTGTAAAAAGAGAACGATTGTCAGGGAAAAGTTAAATATTCATCTTGGTAAATAAAAATGAAAAAATATCTTCTTTTTTTTCCTTCTTCCACTAAATAATTGTGAGTTTATGTTTAAGAGAATTTTGTAAGACAATACTATTTTGTTTCCATTGTATTGTTTTGTTTATTCTAAGAGATTCTTCCTCGGTTGTGTGATATATGAATAATTCAGATAATCACCTATACGTTGTGAAATTTTACATGAATAAAAATCAAACACTCCGTTCGAAATGTGGAAGTACAGGAAGAAAAACAAGAATCATCGTAGTCGCTTCTAGTATTCGTGTATTTGTATGCAAAGAGTGCATTTGTTTTCTGGAGTTTTTTATGTATTCGATGACATTTTTTGATCGCATTATCGATATTATTTTATTGTAGCTTTGGATACTCCGATAATGTCTGCTTTATTGATATTAGATTATCTTTCTTCATATCTGATATTAATAAATTAGGAGATATAGAATCAAAGGATCAGAAATAAAAATTATAAAATTAGAAATACTGTTATAATAAAAATTTAAGGAAAGTTATTAGTATAAGATATCAGATGTAGTTCATGTAATAGACATACAATAAACAAAGTATTAAATAAAATATAAAGTAAAGTATAAAAAACAAAGACGACATCGAGTTAATTTATAGTTCAGCCAAAAAGATAGTTGCTCATGTAGTATTGACAAGAGAAATCGTTTACTTCATCACCTGATAAGAAAACTAGCCACATAATGTACAGGTAAAACACCACACACATAGGGATAACAAAAACTATATGGACGTTTCGGCTTCCGGTGTTTTATGGAAGACAATTTATTACAAAAATAATGAATAAAATTTAGTATGTACACAAAGTTCCCTTTTCATAGCTCTAAAACTAGTTTCCATGACGAAAACTACATAATTTTTTATAAAAAGAATGTCCAACAAAATATACACATAGCACAAAATCAATCATTACATACAATAATATGAGAAATTCTTAATATTAAATTAAAATAAGTAATATATTTGTTTCTATTCACATTTCTTTATTCTACAGATTTGATTTTGAATGTTAATTTTATAACTTAAGCTTGCGAAACTTAATATACGAAGGTGAGGAAGAAAAAAGTTGTAGACCGCTTTTAGAAGTATCACAAAATTTAAACACTATTGAGAAACGGTTAATTTTTTTCTAGGTTCACAATAAAAATAATCATCAGAAGGTAATATAAGAATGTTATATTAAGCTATTTAGACCAATATGATACTAAAGCGTAGTAAAAAAATATCCTATAATTCTGAAGCATGGATATTAGAGAATATTATCATTTAGGAGAACTAAAACAAAAGGGAATACAAAGTCCAAATTTTCAAAAGAGTGCTAAACTCACAGGTTTGTTACTAACTTAAAAATAAATGCTGCTTCGAATATGAGGCACACAATTTGACAAATCAAAATTGAGGCCCTGAAAACCTTTATATGATATATTACCTAGTGATTCAAGTTAATATTTTCATGTTTTAAGAGCGTATCACAGATTTTTCTTCCTCGTATTTTTATATATTTATTCTAGTTCTAAGATACAGCTGTATATTTTTAAATATATATAATTATATAGAAAGAAAATCACGAGTTAAATACAGATTGTTAATAATTTTTATAAATCACCATTTACAATTAATAAAAAAAAACTAAATCTAGACATACAACAAGCCAACCAAACTATGGAGATAAAAAGTATAAAGTCGAAGTGCAGCCTAACAGCGGAACAACAGTCGGTCTCGTCTAGAGTCGGTTTTTTGTAATTGCATCAATGAAAAATTGCAATTGTAGAGTACATATCCATAGGCCAATAATTTTTATAATGTATCATATAAAATCACCAAAGCTATGCTTAAATATGCAGCAAGTCAAGCTCAAAGCTTCCAGTGAAACCATATAACGTAACCGAGCAAAAGTCGGTTCCGTTGATTATTAGTTTTTGTCGTAGTATCAAGGAATAGTTACACACTGTATATTTGTTATACATCTCATACAATACAATTCCACATCAACGTTCTATAGCTTTAGTTATTTTCACTTTCCAGGCTTCTGAGGCAACGTGACCACGCGACGTTTGGCGAATGTTACCAATTCTTCTCGAATGTCTATCTCGTGTGTAATGAGCTGAGGTAACGGAGCATTATGTCAGCCTGTAAGTTATTATAAGTAGAAGTTCTATAAAATATCAATATTTAAATCGCAGCATGAGTGCTGCAAAAAAGAAAAAAGTATCATTTTAATAGTGATTGGGAGAAAGAATTTTTCTATGTCATGTTTAAGGATAAGTTTGTCGATCTTCAGTGGCATGGCCCAAACGTGGGACTTAAAAAGGTATTATAAAACCGTGCATAAAAAGTATGAAAATGATTTTCAGTGAAAGAAGCATTTATTGAAGGGGCTAATGTATTATTTGATTACTTAAAACATAAAACACAGATCATATCTGTTATCGAAGAGGCCCAGTTATCACGCCGAACTATTATCAGAAGAATCGAGATTATGAGCACAGATTTGGAATCCCAGCTGAAAAGGGATATTATAGAATCTATGTACTTTTCTTTCAGTTTGACGTGTCTACCGATATGACTGATACTGCCCAGTTATGCATGTTCATGCGGATGGTATTTCTTGATATATCGGCTAAAGAAGAATTATTAAAAGCAAGTTCTATGTTAAAAAATACTAACTACGAAGGATGTGATAGACATTGCCACAAAGATTGTGAATTTAATCGAAGCACTTAAATTCGTGGGTTAGGAAAATTTTAGTTTACAAATATTAGTATTAGATGCTTGATTAGATGCCTTAATTACATTTGGTATTTAAAAACATTTTCATAAATCTATGTATTTTAGTATCTATGTTTAGCCTCGTTGCAGTAGTCGGTAGTCGATCGCTTGTCTTCTAAATATTTTGTGGTGGATCGCAGACACTACAAGTCTGAGCACCTCTGGTTTACAGGATATAGTAATAGTAAGGATAGATCCCTCATTCCTCGAGCCCTTATAAAGGCGTGATGACACTCTAAATATTACTGGCTTGCTGTCTCCATTGGCTGCGATCCTGTGTAAAATAATCTTTTTTTGAAAACGATTTCCGAAGTGGAAATCGTAACATTAAAAACAAATAATGTAAAATGTAATTCTTATTACAATCAATTGTGGTTTAATTCCATATAAATACAATACTTAACAGGAAAAAGCATTTTAATCATTTTGGATATTTGGATCATTTAGTGCTCAGAACTCTTTCTATTTGAAGCTTGATCAAACAAAAAAAAAACTTGATATAAAAAGCCAAAGAAATCCAGCCCTGACCTGAAAATGCACTGTTAAACCAACATTTAACCACAGATAAAAAATAACTCAATAATTTTCGAGAACGTCGAGCATGAAGGCCGAGCTTGCTCGTACTTCCATGAAAAATGATTCTGAAAAATCCAAGAATGTAGATGATTACTACGCATTCACTTGTGACTTAGAAAAGGCTCTGGATTTTCCAAAACTGACTACATCGATTGCCTATTATAATCGCAACATATATATTTACGAATTGTCAATTGACCAGTTTACAAGGATCTAGACTAAGACTTAAGTGCAGTTCATTTTACAACTGAAAGTAGATAATAAGACACTTGAGCGCACTTTGACCAAAGCGACTTCCATACGTGACATATTATGGACATTTGACATGAAACGTGACATTTATGTTTCTAATGTCACGTTTTATGTCAAATGTCACGTATTATGTCAAATGTCACATATTATGTCAGATGTCACGTATTATGTAAAATGTGTGTGTTTTAATTTACCAACAAACTCTTAAAACCTTTAAACGAAAGGAGGTGCAAGTCAGTTTACATCTTAAAAACTTCCCTTATGATATTTTTTTTACCAAAACGTTGTTGGTGGGGTTCACATGCTCTTCACAAAAATTGTGGCTATTTCCTGGATTCGTGATTAAAAATTTCTTTATTCGCTGATCTACAAAAAAACTACACATACCTACATATTTATTGTATTATTAAAAATAATATGTATTTGTTTAGGTAACTTCCCAAAATCGTAAGTTATTATTTGTCTTAGAAGTTCTTTGGCAAAACAATTCATTACCGTATTTCATGGCTGCATTGTACTTCAGCAAAAAATTACGAATTTTTTAAATTAAGACCTTATTAATTATTATTAATATCGCTGTTCTCTCAGCAAAATGTTTTAATTACAATTTTTTAATTAAAACATATTGATTATAACCCCATATGTTCATTTCGTACTTATCTCCGGCTCGTAAGTGAAATGTGTACTTTTTCTAAAAAGAAAAATACAAAAATCAATAAAGATAATCAAAAGGACCTTTACAACTCTATGAAACACGAACTAACATTTATTAGAAGCTTGTAATCCTAATAAATCTTTAACTTTAAAAGTTATACAGTTAGTAGCATTATTGAAAAGCTATGGTGAAATACAAAAAAGTTAACATATCTGTATTATTAAAAAACTATATACTAAATTCCCCCTTTCAACAAAACGATTACGCTTTCAAATTTTAACGCCAATACTGACTCAATCCATTGATTTCAAAACAAAAAAAACAAAACATTGTTGTTATCAAGCAATCATTGGTGTTGAAAGTGGAGTTTTCAAGGTCATATCTGTCTTATACGAAAATCTTTTCCTTAAAATGTGATAGAAGAATCAAAAATTTAATAATTCACAAATTTGAAATCAAAAAAGTTGTACAAGTACAATAAAAATGTAACATAAAAATTAAGTTTTAAAATATTTTATCAATATTTTGTCGATTGTTTGTACCTACACATTATAAATTGTGGAATATTTAGACTATTTTGGATCAAATGTTTCTAATGTTTGACAGTTACAGTTAAACAGAAAACGATGCAATAAGTCCTACATTTAGATTTGCGTACCATACTACAATTTTAAATAGATCCCCGATTTTGAAACAAGTCGAATCAGCACACTTGAAAAAATAAGCAGTTTAATTCATCATGTAACTATTGTTTTCTAGCTTCAATCGACAATATTATATTCATACACGTATAGTATTTCAAACCTTAGAGGAATCATATTGTGACAATTTTTTCAATCTGTAATAATATCCTATTATCGTCAGTGGCAATCTAACAGTTTTCGAAATCACAACACACATATCACACATCACAAATCATCTGTCTCGTGTATTAGTTCTGGCTAAATAGACGCCAGCATTAATTTTAATATTGCATCGAAAATACGTTTAAACTTGTAACAAATATCCAACAACTACCAAACTATTTATGAAAATAAAATAACAAATGATTTTCTATAAGACAGAGGCCGCTAAAAAATCGAAATCCTCTACAGCTACTCAAAAATTACATCGGTCCCTCTATAATACTAACTTTCATAAAGTAATAATACATGCTACGAATAAACATTACCACAGCTAATAGGAATGCGCCGACGTATGCTACATAAACGCCGTTGTGTGTTCTTGCATAGGAGTATGTTCCCGCAGTCACTCCTATAGCTATGATCAGGAATACTGCGGAAAGGATGAGGAAAATGTTGGCTCTACCTTTTGCATAGTCGGGTCCTACGGACGAGATCTTTCGACAGTGGGGACATCGGGCCAATGCGTTATTTAACGTGTTAAACTAAAAAAATGTTAAATTAGACTTAAACCACATTAATCCCGCAGTAAAAAATATATTAACTTATTGGATAAAACTAATGGTATTTTTCCCATTCACGCGGACGTTGTTTTACACAAATAAACATACTTCTTATCCAGAACAACTGTTTTTCTAGAAATGCTAATGTATAGAGAGCGGAATATTTGCAAGGTGCATATAGATGCACATATGGCATATTTTTGTCCATTTTAAACAACATTGCATATTTTAGCTAAACATGATTTATTTTGCATAGTTTAAAAATAAATTGTATAAAAGTTTAACATTTTTCTGTTTTCGTCTAGTGGAATGAATAGCTTCACGGAGAAGCGAAAAGTGACTAGATGTCACAAATATCATTATTTTCAATCTCTGGTCATCTATTCATTCTTTCAATGTAAACCCTATATTATGGGACAGTTTCGACCGTATCAATACACAATCAGCCCTAAACACTTTCGAATCTAAACGTGAAACTCAGAAACGCAAATTATTGAATCTCATTTCCAAACAAATTCCAAAAACCTCAACATTGGAACCCACTACAGTGGTCCACAACTTTTCTGATACCCCTATTTCAACCATTGCCACTCAAGCTTTAGCAAAAGGTTTCAATTGCTCTGTTACCCCAAGTCACATTCCAATTGAGACAATCATCTGTCAAACTGAAGAAGCCATCTCCAGTTTATCTTCCGAAGATGCTGAAATAACCAGGCAAGACATCTCTAGAGTTCTTAGAAACTCAAAGCCGCCTATTCAAAATATTAGCCAATCCGAGAAAAAAGCCCTGAAATAACTTCAGTCAAATCCAAATCTAGTCATTCTTCCCGCCGATAAAGGAAACGCCACCGTCATCCTAAACACTTCTTACATTAATAAACTCTCAAATCTCGTTAATACTTCAGACTACAAACCAATTCCTAATATCCAACAACCTATCTGGAGAAATCAACAAAAGCCATCATCAATAAAACCTCTCTTCCTGTTGACATCAAAAAATCTCTAATTCCTCGTGAAAAGTCTTCAAGAACACCTCGAATATATGGCCTACCCAAAATTCATAAACCCGATATTCCTCTTCGTCCCATTGTCAGTGAATACAACTGTTCTACACAACTCTACAACCTTTCGCCGAATATGCTTCATCCTTCGTCAAAAACTCTTTTCATTTCATCGAACTTCTTAAACAATACCCTATATCACCGTCAGACATTCTAGTAAGTTTCGATATTGTCTCACTCTTTACAAACATTCCAATAGATGAAACTTTAAACATTCTAAAAACTAAATACAGTATTCAACAATATCACTTATCTCTCATTAAACATTGTATGTCCAACAAGTATTTCATCTTTCAAAACAAATTCTACAGACAAATAAATGGTGCCCCAATGGGCTCCCCTCTATTTCCAGTAATTGCCAATGTCTTAATGGAAGACTTCGAGACCCGAGCACTATCCACATCAATGCTCAAGCCCACATGTTGGCTACGATATGTTGACGATACATTCGTCATTTGGCCCCATGGCAGGGATGCTTTAGTATCTTTTCAAACTCATCTGAATGGTATACATCCTAGTATCCAGTTCACGATGGAGTTGGAAACTGATTCATCCCTACCGTGTCTCGATGTTTTCGTTAAGAAAAACCAAACCCAAGGTTTCCATTACTCTGTTTATCGAAAACCCACACATACCAATCGTTACTTGCATGCCAACTATCACCATCCACCTTCACAAATTAATTCAGTCATTAATACCCTTGTCTCCAGATCAATACGCCTTTCCGATGATGCAAGTAGACCCGCTGAGCTCTCTTGTTTAAAACAAGCCCTAATCCAAAACGGTTACCGCGAAAATCACATCAATAGGAGCATTCACAGACATCAATCTCCCACTCATTCTCAACCCAAAGACTCAGACCCTTATCATACGAAAGCTTTTCTTCCTTATATCAAAGGTGTCACTGACAAAATCGACAGAATTCTGAAACCAAGAGGAATAAAAACAATATTTACTCCCCAACAAAAACTTTCATCTCTTGTCCGATCTATCAAAGACAATATTCCAAATGAACAACACGGAGTTTATGAAATACCTTGTGCAGACTGTCCCCGATCCTATATAGGCCAAACAAATCGTAGAATCCAAAATAGGATTTATGAACATTCCATTTCTGTTCGCAATTCTGATTCAATTTCAGCTCTCGGTCAACACCATCTTCATACAGGCCATAAAATTGATTTTGAAAACTCCAGAACCATAGCCCCATCCGCTTCTATAAACCAAGAATTATCCGAGAAGCCATAGAAATAGAAAAAAGGCCAAATTGTCTTAATAAAAGAGATGACGCCATACGGTTACCTTCTACATGGAGACCTCTCATAAAGAAAATATCGCCCCCTCCATCCTCGAATCAAAATTCCACAGTCGGAAATGTTCGCGCCAACCCCAGCACCAACTCTCGCGCCAACCCCCACAAAAATTTTACGAAAGATACGACACATTCAAGGTGTCGTATCTTTCCTGAAGTTGTTCAGTTTCTAGGAATTTGGTTGACATCCGGTTTGCTTTAGCTTCTCTGCACTTTTTTCTAATGATTTTATTGACTCGTTTGTATTGCATTGCGTTTGTTTTATGTTTTCGTCTTACGTCCATGATGTCGTCTTCTTGAATCTTTGTTATTTTCGTTTTTAGAGTAGTTCATGTTACTTCAACGTCTGTCTGTACCAAGTTCTCTAGCGTTTCTATTTATTTCTCAACCTTGATACTTATTTCATTTTTCTTTTCAGGGTTCTTCCGTTGTGAGATGTCTATTTTTCTTGACAAGTTTTCCCTTTTATCTATAGAACATATTCGTATATATTAACATAGACCGAACAGTCTATAGAGCTAAGTGACGACATCATCTTTGTTGTCATTGCTAGTTGTGTCTCTGTCTTACATTTAGTTAGTATAGCAGCGTCTCTTTTTGCTCGGGAGAGAGCGAGTGGAGTTTCAATGCGCTATAGAGAGACAGCTCGAATAACCGCAAAAGATGTTGTGGTTACTGCTCGTTGCTGGCATGCTCAGTCCATGTTAATATATACATCTATGATGATAGACAACACCTCAGGTTATCCCTCTTCACCACTACACCGTCCCTCGTCCCAAACTACTAACGCTTCTGAAATATGAAAGAGTGGGGCTGGAAATGTTTAGCCTTAAATTTTTCAATTCTATAAAATTAGAGATCAAATCCTATTCATGCATCATAGTTTTTTTGTAGAAAATAAAATATTATTTTTTAATACTTTTTAATAACTGAATCTTTTTAGAACTATAAACAATATTGTGATTCAAATTTTTAATTTAACTGTGTAGAAATCTACAAATAATATAATAAAGTTTATGCAGTCGCCCTCTACAGAAGTATTTTGAAGTATCGTGACCAAATCTCCCATTTAAAATGTACTTCGATATGAGTCTATATTTGTTGGTAACACCAACATCATCCAAAACCTACAATATTCTTGAGTCATGAACACAATTTATACTTACCAGGAAAGTATCGTGACAATGTGCGCAAGTGACTCGGCACATTCCAGGCATAGTGGGAACAGGCGGTGTAACCGGACTTGGGGCCAAGTTGATGATCCTTTTACAATTTGGTCTGGGACAAGCAATCCTCTGCGAGGAACTTTTGCATATAAGCAAACAATTGCAGGGACAGCGTACATACTTTTTTCCCGGAGGAGCGTTTCTTATTGGCTATAAAGTATTACAAAAATATCAAAGAATGTCATTGCCTTTCAATAAACGATTAGATCTATGAATCGCCGAAATGTTTATACGCGCATAACTTCAAAACGACTGCATCAAATTTGATAATTCTTTTTTTGTTATGTTTGTTATTATCCGAATAAGGTTTGTGTAAAAGATAATATTCAAAAATTTTACGGAGAGACGCAAAAAACAGTAAAGTTAAATCGCAATATAACTAATAAATGGCGCCATACTATGATTAATAACGGAAGCTATGATTACCAAAATAAATGTCAGTATTGATATATTGACATAACGACATAACTGTATAGTGAATTGCGGCTCAAAATAAAAGAATGAAACAGTATGTGGACTGTAGACGAACGCGGAGCTTCATACTATGTTTCTGTATTTTTAAAATTTAAATAATGTCCAGAAACTCTCCTGACAAACGAAGACCGGAGATTCTTCAGATAATTTTAAGACAATTTAACTCAATTCACCTATTCCGAAAATGCTTTCTAAGAGAGCTAGAGATAAGGCTGCTTACAATTATTTTTTTAAATACCTCCAGAACGTTTCTATTTAGAAAAAACGACAACTGGTACGATTATTTATCCACCAGAGTTGAATAGATTCCGTTAATTACTAATTTTTAGTACCGGTTAGCCGTCTGTTTTGGGTAGGGCAATAGTAAATTTAACGCATAAATTTTTTGTTTTTAATTTTTAAGCATTTGTGATACTAGATTATTAGATGTTCATTTAAGTACACCATTAAACGTAAATCTCCTATTAAGTGAAGACAATATAAAAATCTTTAAAATAATTATATTTCTTGTAAAAATTAAATTAAAGGTATGAGAGTGTAAAATTGATCGTATGCTTGAACATTTCCTTTGTATGTTTACTATATATGTTGCCCACCTACCTAACCGTGGTTTATATCTTGTTTGTTACAATAAAGCCGCTCTGATGAATCCCTGAGCGTAAAAAGTGTCCTCCTTGTACAATCCTGTATGAATGAATACTAATATTTATATGTAATTACGTGGCTAAAGGTTTCAAGCCAAAGCCAATAATTAAAAAAAAATCATAATGAAAGTTAAATTAATATTTGTTGCATTAGTTGGCTTTAAAATATCAACAGAACTACCTACCTAACCAGTCAAATTGTTATCAGTTCGTGAAGTTTCTCTTTTAGTTTTTACTTTATAGCATTCAAACATAACAATTTGAATTCAATAAAAATGGCTTTTTACTAACCTTCGAGTGGTAACGTACGGTCCCTGACACCGACGTATTAGATATTTCGCGCTAATAATAACTCAAATGCTCATATTGTTTTGTCCGCGCGGCCAGGTAGCTTTCGAATCCTCATCACGCTATTCAGTCTTGAAAAATCTGTGGCCAAGTGCGGATAGTTCATTATGTTATTCGACCTGACGGTGTGAGCGACCGAGGTTACCATATGTGTTACTACTCAACGGTAAGTTTTTGTCGTTTTTGATCCATAGTCAGTTTAAAATAGATATTCATTTTAGGAGTCGTATGTGAATATGGCTTACGAAAGGTAACAAATCAGGTTGCAATATCTTTTTGACGAAATTGTTGCTAATTCCGAACCGGAACCAGAAGATGACGATGCAAGTTTGCAAGATGATTGTTCAGAAGTTCTAGAATATGATACCAATTCAGAGGAGGATTTCTGTGATGAAGAATATGTCGAAAATCATGTACCAGTAGAAGTAATACCGCGCATACCACGTTTGTTTAGGAAAGATGGAACAAGGTGGAGGAAACATCATGAATTTAATCGTAACGCTCGAACTCGTACTGAAAATCTTCTACCCAATGAAAAAATTCTACCCAATCTGGCAGGACCAGAAGGTGATGGCGAAAATTGGTGATAAGATTTGGGACTGTTTTTCACTACAGATATTCTAGAAAAAATAGTAGAAGGCAGCAATAAGTTCATAGAATTGATGAACACAACGCTATGACATACGCTCAATAACAGAACGGCTAGGCCAATTGATCTTATAGGATTAAATGCTCTGTTTGAACTGTTGCACATATCTGGCGCTAACAAAAGCAATCATACTAATGCTGATGATTTATTTAGAACAGATGGAAGGTCAATGGAGATCTATCGCCTTATGATGTCGCTAAAGAAGTTCGAGTTCATTTTAAGATACATTCGATGACAAAAGTACTAGAATACAAAGGCAAGAATTCGACAAGTTGGCCGCGATACGTGAGATTTTTGAAGCTTTTAATTCTAATCCACCGAAGCATTACAATCTTTCAGCATATACTACGATAGATGAAATGTAGAAGCCTTTCGCACAAATGTTCATTCAGGGTTTACATACCGAACAAACCAAATCGTTACGGTATCAAAATATATACTTTAGCAGACGCTGAGATGTATTATACGTCCAAGATGGAAGTATACGTTGGTAGACAGCCAGCAGGAAAATATTTTGTTGATACGTCAAATATGTCACTTGTACCTCGTCTGTGTGAACCGAGAAACGTTACCATGGATACTTTTTTCACAAGCGTTCAGCTCGCGCGGTTATTTCAAAGTGAACATCTTCTAATTGTTATAGGAACGTTATGAAAGAATAAACCTCAAATTCCTCTAGTGCTAATACCACAAAAACCAGAAAAATCCAGTATGTTCACATTTCAAGAGAAGTGTACCCTTGTATCATATGTACCCCGAAAAGGTAAAAAGGTTTTAGTGTTATATACTATGCACTGCGACGACAACATTGATAATGCAACAGGTAAACCAGAAATAATCATAGATTATAATAAGACTAAAGGAGGCCTGGATGTCGTGGACAAACTCTGCGCAGTTGTTTGAATGTCACTGGGATAAATTCCTACATTATATACAAATCGAATACAGACACACGCATTCCTAGACGAAAGTTTTTGGAAGACTTAGGTTTTCAACTTATTGACGAACATATTCGCACGCGAGCCCTAGAACAAAATATTCCAAGGACAATTTGTATGAGGTTAGTGGAAATTTGTGGCATGCAGACAAGAAATCAACTTCCAGAATAATGTGTAATAAGATGTACGTTTTGCAGTAGTAAGAAAAACCGCAAAACTAGGTTTCTTTGTGGGCACTGTGGCAAATATATGTGTTTGGAACATTTAACCGGACTATGCGTTGTATACATTGTAGAAGAAAATGAGGAAGCAAACGGACAATAGTTTCAGTTTATGTTGGACATCTGTTTAATAATTTTATTTTTTTTTGTGGCATTTCAAACATTGTCTTTATGTTTGTTGATATTTTGTATTGAAAAACTTGACATGCTTTTGTAAATTGTTCAATTATGTTAGTACCTAAAAGAAGCCAATTTTTTTTAATGTGCAATATGATCATTTCTTACTATATTGTTATTTAAATATAGTTATATTAAATATTTAGTCACATCAAAATATTAACAGAAAATTACAACCTAAGATATTGATTATTGAAAAAGTTGCTGTCGTAGAACGACGACCAAGTATGTTACAAGAATTGACGTTACCGTCGGAAGGCTAATGAGGAATACGCTGATATGCATTTAGTTTATTGAAAAATGAGGTGTAACGCTCCAGCAGTAACGTAAATACGCTGAAAATTTTCTGGATTAAGAGAAACAAGTTCAGTGTCCTAAAAAATTATGAAACAGGGCGACATAATGATGTAACAGCAGCACATGAGGATGTTATTTTAATGAAAGTTGAGCAAAATTTAGAAATTAGCGTTCGAAGACTATCTGCCATGTATCTCACAATTTCAAAATCTTCCGCAGGAAATATCTTACATAACGAAAATTTATATCCTTTTCATTTAACAAAGAAACAAGCACTGCTAAAAGTAGATTTTCCTGCTCGTGAAAAAGACGTTATATGGTTACAAAATGAATCATTCTCTCTCCTGTTGCCGACCAGAATGTAGCTTCCACTATTTTTAAAAAAAATTTAACCTGTTTGTCCTTGTTTAGTGTAGTGTTATGTTCAATTGTATGTTTAATTTATGACATTCTACGATTGTTGGATAGCCCAAAATTGACGAAATGCCCCTGAAGATGCTCTAGGAAGCGAAAGTACTTGGGCAAGATTTAATTAATAAAACAGTGCTCGATATCTGCCTTTCATTTTATCAAAGTTCATTTATTCGAGCATTCAACCTTTTATCAATTTAAAATACATATTTGTTGTGCCAGTTGAACCATCTTAACCATTCCCCTTGTAGTTGACTTTATTTACCATCTGATTCATGGTGAGTTTCGTTTCAAGTATAGTTGCCTCCATATTTCTATCGCTCATCGAAAAAAATGGCGGTATAAATGTTTAAGAAATTCGAGTAGCCGCTGTCCAAGGACGTATCGCTATCGATATTAAATCATAAAAAAGCAATGTGGAGTATGTATATAGTCAAAGAACAGAGAGATCTGATTACGAAAAAAAAAAACAAAACGTTACATTTCTTTCTTTTTATTATCAATATATATTTTAGTATCAATAATTATCAATCTGCGACCCTATCTGCGAAAAAAATAGTAGATGATACATCGACATTTTCTATTAGCGTTTAACGATGACGTCACATAAATAAAACTGCGCGGAACAGTATTTTACATTTCAGACAATAATATTATTTTAAACAAAAATTTACAATTTATAATGAAAAACTGAATGGTTTTAACTGAAATAGTCACAACATTAGCATATATTATCTAAAATATTTCTTCTGCAGATGAGCTGTCATCATTGTGATCTCTGATAGTTCATATCGAATTAAATCAATCACTTTCGCATCAAACTTTGGACCAATATTTTTCCCCCGAAGTAGTAATTCTTTGTCATGAGTTTGTCATTGTCGCGCATGGTAGAATACGGAATTTCTGTAAGAAAAGCAGCTTTTCTTAAAATACTGCCTTTACAACTATTTGCAGGAGCATTTTAAGATTTTTGTAAACTTTCATCGAGGATTTCTGTGCTTAAGTGGAAGCAGATAAAAATCTAAAAAAAAACTAGATGCACTAAAAAACCGAAATTGGAGATATTAGATGAAGCTCTTTTGTTGCGGTTTTAGGACGGAGGAGAATTTATTGCAAGTGAAGGTTGGCTGACTCGCTGGAAGGAATGTCACAAAGTTAATTATGCACACGTAAGTGGAGAAAAATGTCCGCGGTGGCTTCAGGTGCAACTGGTTTCACCTTTAAGTTTGTAGAAATTATAAAAATAGAAAAATTAAAACCCGAACAAGTATATAACATGAATGAGACGGGTCTCAATTTTAAAATGCTTCCAGAAAAAACATGTTTGGGAAGTGATGAAAAATCAGCTCCTGGGTTTAAAAATAATAAAGAGCGCATTACAGATGCTGTTTGTTCAAATGCAACAGCAACACACAAAATTCCTCTTTTCGTTGTTGGTAAGTCTGCTAAACCGCGTACATTTAAAAATTTACATCCATCGTCCCTCCCCGTATTCTACAGATCACAAAAATCAGCATGCATGAGCGCTGATCTATTCAAAGAATGGTTTGAGCGTGAATTTGTTCCTAGAGTAACGCGCCATCTTAACGAGTATAAATCTTCCCACTAAAGCAGTCCTACTTTTGGATAATGCTCCAACTTATCCTGGAAATCTAACATGTGAGACAGATGACATAAAAATTATCTTTCTTCCTCCTAATGTGACAAGCTTGGTGCAACCGATGATTCAAGGGGTGATTGAAAGCTTGAAAATACTATATAGACGTAAATTACTGTCAGAAATTTTAGAATGCGCAGAAAGTGAAGATCTCAATCTTATTAATATCATCAAAAAATTAACTTAAAGGACGTAATTTACATGTTAGCTTCCGCCTTCCAAGAAATTCCTGTTTCTACTTTCGTTAAGTCTTTTTCGAAAACTTTGGGCCAACATTGAGGAGCTTGTTGAGTGTCGACGATCACACCATTCTTCAAGATCTCCAAAAATTATTCGAAAATGTTTAAAAAAAACGAATTCTTGACAGACGATGAAATAATTACACTAGCAACACATGAAGAGTCCTATGAAAATGAGGAGACTGATGATGAGGGAGAGGAAAAGGTCGGCCACACCGAAGCGAGGGCTGCAATGGAGGTGGCATTGAAGTATACTGAACAATAACCTGGGTCATCTTCAATAGACGTCTTGGTTTTTAAAAAAATGCAGAGATAGCTTTTAAAAATTTACTCAATGTCAAGAAAAAGAAGAAAATTATCGATTATTTTGGAAACAAGTTTGTAAAATATTTAAGTATGTGTCATCATCATCAATCAGCCAATCGCTTCCACTGCTGGACATAGGCCTCCCTCAGTTCTTTCCAATGTTCTCTACACTGGGCCGCTTGTAGCCAGTTTCCCGCTACACGTTTTATATCATCGGTCCATCTAGCCGGTGGTCGTCCTCCGCTTCTTTTATAGTTTCTGGGCCTCCATTCCATAATACGTCTTGTCCACCGTCCATCTTGTGCTCTGGCTAAGTGCCCTGCCCAGTTCTACTTAAGCGACGTGGTTCTTTCGATGACGTCTTGAACTCCTGATCTTTGCCTGATTTGTTGGTTTGTTATGTGGTCTCGGAGGCTCACGTTCAGCATTGCACGTTCCATGGCTCGTTGCGTAACTCTGAGTTTATTCGCAGATTTTTGCGTGAGTGTTAAAGTCTCCGCTCCATAAGTTTGTACAGGTAAAACACATTGGTCATAAACTTTTCGCTTGAGACACATGGGAATTGAACTTTTTAGAATATGGATTAATTTGCCAAATTCTGCTCAAGTTAGGCCTATTCGCCTCTGTATTTCATGTGTTTGATTGTCTCTGCTTATTTTGATTTCGTGTCCCAGATATTTGTAAGTGTCTGTTTGTTGTATGTTATTATTGTCAATAGTTATATTTCCACTCATTACGAGATTTGTTATAAGTTTAGTTTTCTCAAAGTTTATCTTTAATCCTGCTCTTTCAGACAGACTTTTAAGTGAATGCATCATAGAAACTGTATCTTGTAAATTATCTGCGATTAATACAACATCATCTGCAAATCTAAGGTGGTTTAATCTTTCTCCATCTATATTGATGCCCATATCTTGCCATTGAGTGCTCTTAAATATTGACTCTAGAGCTGCCGTGAACAATTTTGGTGAAATATTGTCTCCTTGTCTAACTCCTCGACCTAAGCTGAATTTTTCTGTGTCTTCATGTAGTCGTATACTTGATGTAGCGTTCTCGTAGATGTTTTTAATTAGTGTCGTGTACCTGTAATCTATTCGGCTTTGATTTAGGGCTTCCAGTATTGTTTCAAACTCTACAGAATCAAAAGCCTTCTCGTAATCGACAAATACAAGAACCAGTGGTATGTTGTACTCGATGCACTTTTCTATTAAGATCTTTATGGTATGCAAATGGTCATTTGTGCCATATCCTGCCCTGAAGCCTGCCTGTTCTTTGGGCTGATAGAAATCAAGTTTAGGTGTTATCCTCTTTGTTAAGATTTTCATAAAGAGTTTGTACATATGGGTCAAGAGGCTGATGGGTCTATAATTTTCTAATTTAGTAATATCGCCTTTTTTGTGTAACAAGACTATTACTGCAATGTTCCAGTCTTTTGGAATCGTACGCGCATGTAAGCATTTATTAAACAGTTCGCTTACTGATTTTAATAAAATTTCTCCTCCTGCTTTTATTGCCTCGATAAAGAGTCCATCATCACCAGGCGATCGATGGTTATATGTGTACATAGAAATAAATAGTATTTTTCAACTGTATACTGCGTGATCTTTATGATTATACACCTTCCTGTACATGTGTTTGATATATGTATATATGTATGTACTTGATTTTTCTCATGAAAATACCTGCACATCGGATTAACCGGCCATTTGGTCAACCGGTCAGGCTCTGGTCCCGAGGTGGCTAGTTAAGAGGGAGTCTACTGTATATTGAAGAGTCTTGGCGGAACATAAAAATTAGGTTTTATTTTTAACTGTACAATTTTGTAAATTTTTAAATGCACTTTTACATATAGGTAAAATAAACCATATCACCGTATTTTCGTCAGCAGAAATCGTGGTTTAATTTATGACTAATATTTTCGCGATATTTGTATACATTGCTAAGTAATTGTGGTAACTTTTGACCACAGTAATTAAGCAAGAAATAAATTTATAAAATTAAGTGCAGTTGAAATGATACCGACTATTTGGAAATCAAACTGTATAAACGATGCGAGAACTTACTGTGGCTTCATTGCACTGCGTACATTTGACGACGTGTTGATCTCTTTTTCCAGAAATATCAATCATTGCCTGACAAACTCTACATGTAACCATAGGAACTCCACCTCCCTCCGATTGCTGGAAGAACGGAGGAGGTAGCTCATCTGGTCCAATTGGAGATACTGTAGTTTGTTGACCTAAAACAGATAATTCTGTGAAAAACATACGTCCATTTATTGCCATTATCTTAAAGCATATAAACGAGATATTTATTATCAATTATGCAAACTATTAAGTAGATATACGAGCCCCTTCCCATATCAGTTGGTCCACCTATGGAATTTGCAGTTTAAGTCGATTTACATAAACAAATTTTACTTTGCATGTTTTTATAAGTTCCCATATTAAACTACTAAATCCTAGCTATGCATTCACTTATGTCAACGTACGTTGATTTTTTTATAATTACGTTAAATCCAGAGGTAGCTATGGAAAAATGTCAAAACAATAATATTGTCAGTTAATGTCAAATGTATTTTGTAGTATTGTAAAGCTTTTTGCCTTTTATGGATTGTACAATGGGTGGAGGTAAAGTTATCGATGAGAAAATGTATTCAACCATTAGATTATATTAAATTAGATTTTTTAATTCTGAAAAATCCAATGCGGAAATCGCGAATATGTTGCATTTTTCACGCTATAGTGTAAGAAATATAGTTAGAAGATACAAAACTACAGGTTCGGTCGTCACAAAACCTAGAAATGTACGAAAAAGTAAAATAACCGAAGCAGATCTAAGGGCAATAAGATGCATTATAGTCAAAAATCGACGAGCAAATTATATGGAGTTAAGCGTTTTATGGAGTGACGTTATTGGAAGACACGTTTCTAGATCAACATGTCGCCGAGAAGCCTACAAATTAGGATTTGCTATTTACAAAGTAAGTTTTATAGTTGAAACAATTAGTAAGAACTGTTTTTAATAACTTTAATTTTATTTTAGGCTAAAAAAAGTCACTTTTAACATTACAAAAAGTATGACAAAAGAAAAATAGACTAAGATGGTCAAAAGAGCATAAAGATTGGAAGTAGAAATGGGATTCAATACAATGGAGTGATGAGTCCAGATTTGAAGTGTGTGTTGGAGGCAGCAGGAGTCGCGTAATTCGCAGAAAAAATGAAGCTTCCCATCCCGACTGTCTGAAGAGAAAAGTCAAATTTCCTGCATCTGTCATGATCTACGACAGCAAGTCATCTAAAGGCATTACATTCATCTACAGGAAAGTTACATTTTATCGATGGGATTGTAAACACGGACAAATATCTGAATATTTTATAAGAATCTCTTTTACCGACTATGGAACACCATAAAATTAGCAAAATTTTTTGTCTTCCAACAGGACGACGCAGGTTGTCATACCTCAAAAAAAGTTTAAAATGGATTGAAGACCGTGGCATACCACTTCTAGAATGGGCTTCTAACAGTCTAAAAAGCTTTGAGGAAACATCCTGCCAGGTCCATCAACGAATTGAAGAAATTGCAAGAAATATGGGATTCGTTTACATTAGAATTTTGTCAGAGAACTTAGTAAAAACTATGCCTCGAAGAATTATTGTGAATGTCATTAAAAATAAAGGGGATGTAACTCAGTGGCAAACTTTCACATTTTTTTTGTTAATATTACATATTCCATGCCATTGTTTTAAATTCATTATTATTCTATTTAATCAGTAGTTTTCATTACGTTATAAAATATTTTCTACAATTAGGATATTCAAAAAGTTTCGATGAATTAAAACTTCTTAAATTTACATTCTTTTATTTTTGTTCTCTAAAATTTAATTTTCTTATTAACCTAACGTTGGACCAGCTGATATGGGAAGGTGCTCGTAGTGCATTTCTGAGGAAAGAGCTATAAAAACAGGAGTATATATGCAAGTTCGCATGCATTCCAGAACTTTATTCACCTTATATTCGGAAGAAATAACTAAAAAATCACTTATAATATTTAGAATAAAAATTAGCGACAGATCAATTAATAATATGCAAAGACTTTACAAGACTTACAACCACTTATCGATAAAAACATGAAGCAGAACTTTAACCAAAGAGATTTGGCAGTAGGAAAAGTTAAAACAAAGATATCTTGGTACGATTTTTAATGAGAACAACGACTATACAGTAAAAATATAGACGAGAATTAGACAAGCTAGAGCTTATAGATTTTCTAAAAGGCTACAATGGCTTACAGTATCAAATGCGTTCGCCAGGTCTAGAAACACACAAGCAGTAGGTTGGCTATTGTCAATTCAATTTGTTATTTGTCGATAAACCTTCACGGAATCCAAACTGCTTTAGTTTGTCTAATAATTCCCTGTGATTTAAAAAAAAAATGTGATCAAGGCAACTCTATAGAATTTCACTGTATTCATGTATATTTGTTGATCACATAGTCAAATTGGTATTCATACATCAAATTGAGGTATTCGTAAGCACGTTCGTTAGTTATATCCTTAATATTAATGTCTCCGAGTAGAATATGGCACGCTAACCGTTCTTGTTTCTGTTGTTCTAAATATTATTTTAAGTCTCCAAGAAATTCCACAACGTCACCAGGTGGTGAACGATAAAAACAAGTAGTAACTAAGATTTTCTTATGAATAACAATAAATAATAACATATTATTTTCTAATTGAATAACTGCCTACTAAATGAATAACTAAATACTACCACCCAGTCATTTCTATTGAAATTGGAATCACTATACAAGAATATGTATTTATGATTATTGTAATCACATAGTTTAAAAGTTTCAGTTAGTACTTAACAGTTAGTACAGTTATTAAAATTTGTTTAGTATTTTACGCAGAATCTAAAATGCAATAATATAAAGAGTGTTCAATTTTAAAATAACAAAGTTGTTGTTCACTTCCGGTAAGTAGTTTCCGATATAGAGATAGTGTAAGTTCATCGTCAAACACCTTGTATAGGTACTGTATCCTTGCAACGCTGCCCCCCCTAGTTTTTAGACTATAACGTCTCTGTTTGGGTAGTTACACTCAATTACAGGATTAAAAAATCAAATTAACGTATTATGGACACATAAGAAGCCTATATCAAAGTCGGATACCACAGAAAATTGACGCCCAAAGATAAAAAAAATTATAGACCAAGACGAATGAGCAATCAGAAAGGCAGAGAGGACGTGAAGAATATATTTGGATAGAGCAGAAGAGAAAGACGGAGAGAAAATATACGGTTTGCGACCTTCAAATGGTCTTCATTTCAAATTTCATAATAGTCTTCCTTTACCCCAACTACCTATTACTATACTACAGAATGAGTGCCCAATGTACTCATTTTATTCTGGAACTTTAACAAATAGCAATGAAAATTGTTTTGAGAAGAAACTGCTCTATTTTTTTTAATACATACTAGGGGACTTGTCTAGTCGACAAGATGAATATCAAAGCTGAGGGCTAAGTCTCAAAAGATTGTAGCGTAGAAACTGCTTTATCAGGTGCAACACCCTGCCAGGTACGTAAGTCATCTACAGACAATTCCGAGTTCCAACATCCAAGAGATTATAATGACCCTGTTAATCTGTCTAAAGCTCTGACAAGAATTGATCCCACTGTAAACCGATAATCTCAATGGAAATAAGGGCTCGTGCGGCAATCGTAGCGAACGACGATTGCCTAGTAAAGTCGCATTGTTTTGAACCTTTCCACTCTCGGAACTCCAAGAGACGTGTGGAGTAGACGATACAACTCAGAACCTTACAGAATATAACAGGAACTAGATATTGTCAAACACATAACAAAACACCTGAGGTGGATAGAAAATGTAATGCGTATCGAGCAAAATAATCTAGTTATAAAAACAGTCTTTGATAGAGCTATTTGGCAGACAAGAAGAAGAAGACCCACAACAAATTGAAGCTGTAAGAAACATGGGAATACGTCCTTCTAGGGAGAAGACGATGGATAAGGAACACTGAAGATAAATTCTTGAGGTGACTAGGATCAACATACGGTTGTAAATCCAGAGTGATGATGCCTTATTTTATTCAAGCCGAGTCGACTTTGGACCTTTAGATAATTTTAAAAATATCTGATATTTTCTCCGGCGTCACGTGTCGAACCCAGACCTTCTGTGTGATACTCAAACACTCTACCATTTGAGGTATTCGGCCCTAATATGATTTCATAATAGGTAAATGTCTTAGATATGGCAGCATTGTTTTGTGTTGTCTGCATCGGTTTATTTGGTAACAAAGGTCATGAACTTGTGCTAATATTATAATTTTACTTTAATTGTTTACTTCATTATTTTAGTTATACACAACAAAAGCACGGTTGACAACAAAAATGTTTATCTGTGTCTCTAATTACTTTTTAATACTTAAATATTTTTATCAAACATTTCAGTTTATTTATAACCTAAATTCAATAAGTTATCAATCGCAAATGATACGGATAATACACCATGCCGGTGGAATATGGCTTCTATTATCAATACCGGATAAGTAGAGCAGTTTCAGATGAAAAACGTAAATTTATTTATTTTAATGGAATTGTAAAGACTAACTTCTTAGTATATTTTAATGCAGCGGTTTAAATTACGGACTGACTTTTCCAATGGGCTACCATTTTTCTCAGAGCTTTATTTCAATTTTTCAAGCTGTATTTTTAAGTTCTCTTATGATTTTTATAATTTCGGTTGTTATGGTCATAAAACTAAATCAACTTCATATCCAAGACATTGCTTTCTTGTGTAGGTACCTTGAGTTTTAACTTGTAACTACAGAGCAGTAGCCACATTGACTTCATGCAGATAGTAAATTTCTCGTTTTTATTCAAATCTATGTTTTTTAGACCTAGGTTAATTTAACAGAAATACATATTAGGATAATGTTAAGACTTGAAGGCTGGACGGTTAGGGGCTACGCCACCTTCAAGTCACCAGGTGAGAACGAAATTATCCCGGCTCTGCTTCAGTAGGGTCTGGACCGTATTCCTCCACACTAGTGGAGGAATACGGGCAAAAAGGGCGGAGTAAGGCCTAAGCAACCTAGGCACTTGCCTAGCTCCCGTAATTTTTGGGGCCCAAAAATTAGATTTATAATTAATTTTTATTGATATCCATAATTATTGCTGAAACGATCCAAATTATACCTAATCGTTATCTTTATAA